TTTTAGATTTTAAAAAAAAATTTTTTTTTTTTTTTTTTTTTTAGGTTTTTCCGGGGGGGAAATTTTTTAGTTGTAAAAAAAAAAAAAAAAAAAAAAGTATATAAATTTGCTTTAAATCAGATTTTAAGCAAATTTAAAAAAAGGAACATTGACTACAAATTGTTAATTTTTATGACAACCAAAAACAAAACCACAATGTTGCTCAAATACGCACCTGCATGTACAGGCAAAAACCCATCACCGTTCAGAGGAATTAATCTGTCTTTGTAGGTGCTAGAGTGATTTTGGCGTGCCGAGACACAGCGAAAGGAGAGCAGGCGGCATCTGACATCATGAGGGAAGTGAACGGAGCTAAAGTGGCCGTCAGGCAGCTGGATCTGGCTGACACCAAGTCCATATGCCTGTTTGCCGAGAATATCTACAACAGTGGGTGAAACACAATGCATACAGGACAGAGTTAGAAACGTTTTCAAAAATCAAAGGGATACGACACTATTCTGTTTTTCAGCTGAGAAGACCCTGGACTACCTTGTCAACAATGCAGGTGTTGCTATCTGTCCGTATGCAAGGACGATGGATGGGTATGAGATGCAGTTTGGAGTCAATCACTTAGGTAAGGGATAAAGGTGTTAGAAAGTCTGAGATGCTTTAATCTCTCTTTTAAGAAATGAATGAACCAGTTCTTTCTCTCTCTCTCTCTCAGTTCTGTAACACATCGCTCCGTTTCTTCTTCCTCAGGTCATTTCTTCCTGACTTTCCTGCTGCTGGACCTGCTGAAGCACTCTGCCCCGTCCCGGGTCATCAACGTGTCGTCCGCAGTTCACGCCATGGGCAAGATCCAGTTTGATGATCTGAATGGGGATAAAGATTACCATCCCGTCAGAGCCTATGCTCAGAGCAAGCTGGCTAACGTGCTGTTTACCAGGGAGCTTGCCAAAAGGACTGAGGGTAGGGTGTGTTGGTGTTTTTTTTGTGTCTGCATGTGTTTGTGTGTGTCAGGCAGAGGCCGTAAGACTGACTGCCTGTCTTTGACTATATGAGTGTTCCTCCTTGTGTACGGAAAAATAAAAGGTCCACATCTGCTGCCAGTGTGAGAGTCTCATGCCTCAGCCACAACTGCTCGAAGCAAGGAAATGAGCAAGCAGAAGCATTTTTAGTGAAAAAAATAACGTTTTCCACAAGTCACACCTACTTATCTCAATGTTTCCAAACATAAAAAGTAAAAGCGTTAGTCATTTTGTAGCAGATTTTGCTTTGAGAGAGATTAAAGGATTTCTCAAACCTGCATGACAGAATCAAGGCAACAAGTCAGGGAACAACATTATAACATGATGTAAAACTGAAAAAAAGATGATTTTACACAATACTGCCCCTTTAAATAATAGTAGCCACATAAAGCTTACCAACACATTTCAAACTTTAATGAAGGGTGGAAAAATCTACTTCTCCCTTTCCCCCCTCTAGCTCTTGGTGTGATGGCTTTTTCTGTGGACCCTGGCATGGTAAACACCGAAATTACAAGGCACATCAGGCGCCCTCTTGTGGACATAGCTAAAATCTTCAGTTTCTTGATCCGAACCCCAGCAGAGGGAGCGTCCACCTCTATCTACTGCATCGTTACTCCAGAGAATGAGCTGCTCACCGGTGGATTCTACAGGTCAGTGGGAGAAATTAAATAATGCCGAGTTTTATATAATATAATAAAACTAAGGAAGCCAATTTTTTTTGTATTTTTTATGGTAAAGCAAGATTGTGTGAGATGAAGTGGATAAAACCACACACATTTTTTTTAATAAAAGATCAAGTAAAAAAGACAAACATACAAAAAAAAAGACCTACCAAAGTTAATAATTCACCTTTTAAAAAAATCTTTACCTCAATCTTCCTCTTTTTCCAGGAACTGTGCCAGAGCAGACAGCTGCAGGGCAGGAGAAGATGATGGCACCGCTCTGAAGCTGTGGGCCATGAGCTGCCACCTGCTGGGCATCCGCTGGAGATAAACAAATCTGACCGCACTGTGCAGCAACATTAATATGCACTTCAGAAATACCCTTTTCATCTTGTGAGCAAAATGTTAAAATCCATTGAACATCATCCATGTCCCTGACATGTTATAAGACAACTTGGCCTACAATCAAATCACTGTTTAAGTTTGAGTCTTTAAATCACATCACTTATAAAAGATACACGATTAGATTAAATGCGAGCTTAGTGAAGGGCGTAATGGCCAGAAGATGGGTAAAATAAAAACTACTATACTTGTGCGCTTGTGTTTTTTTTTTTTTTTTTTTTTGCCATCTTCTTTGTTGTCCTACTGGAGCTTTTGCTACTTTCATTGCTAGCTAACATTATTTTGATGTATTTAATGTTATGATGTATTTACTAACATAAACTGTATTTCACGACCGAAACCCCAAAACAAGTTGTTTTCATTTAAAGGGGCAGTTGTATTTTCCAGGCACATAGAGCGATTTTATAGCAAAGTTAAGTTTGTTACCTCCAGTTGTTTTAACAACTCTGTATATCAAATGTGACTTAAAAGAAATTTGACCTTGTAATGTGACCTCTTGCAGTTGGGCCTCTGTCTCTTTAAAAAGCTCCGGATCTTTCTGAGAATCTGCTTTAGGCACGCGATAACAATTCGTTTTTAATATATTTACATCATATTGAAAATGTGTTCTTAGGAGGGTTGGACTGAGAAGTAGATGAGTTCAGCAGACTTGCAGTTCCACTCAGTGTTTGCTAATTGCAACAACAACAACAACAACAACAACAACAACAACAAAATTAAAGCAACACTCCAGGTATGTTTTTGATAAAGGAATAACACTATATATTTATTTTTGAAATAAAGCTAAAAAAAAAAGTCAGTTTTACATCAGTGCTATAACACAAGAGTAATCAATAGCTACTGTATTTTGTGTAAAACATCCAATTAACAGTTTAATTTTTAAAGTTTTTATTTGTGCTGAATCAATCCTAAAGATTCAAGGGATAATGTCAATCAAATCTATTGTCAGCTGTAGTTGTTCTCTTTGATTTTTGGTAACTTAATTTTTGTGTCTTTCTTCCTTAAAACCCTCCAGTGTTTTTTTTTTTTTTTTTCCCCATCTCCGTTTAATTTTGGGCTCCTGTGACATGATGAGTTTCTTGTTTTTATAATATTGCGCAAAATAAGATCATTTGGTGGTGAGGGGGAGGGGGGAGTGTATGCCCCAACACTGTGCAGACAGTACTTAAGACATGACTCTAAATCGACTGAATTAAACGAATTCTTCGTTCAAACCTCGTATGATCAAATTCTCACATTTTCCAAACACGTTGCACGGTGAAGCGCTTGAACTGTGGCCAATTAAAGTGAAAGCCAAGACGCATGAGGTTTGGCATGATCCTCAGTCCGTAACGAGATGCAGGCGAGCAGGCAGGCAGGCAGGAGCCAACGGGAAAGCCGTCTGTTCCCAGGCTCTAGCTTGTTAATCAATCATGCGCCCGCTGGCTTCTGATTGGCCCAGCCGGGAGACGCGAAATGCGCGCAGCAGACTGTGTGGAGATGACAACCTGGGAGCCAGTGCTGCACCGTGTGGTGGAGACTGGAAGGGACATCTGTTTGGTTGTCACTGAAGTCGCCCACCGATCTTAAAGTGGAAATCTATTACTCTGGAGGAAAAATGAACTGCAGGTAGGAGAAAAAAAAATCTTTGAAGGAAAAAGGTTAAGAGGCTGGATCTAATGACTGCACTAACTTGAAATGGAAGAGAGAGAGAGAGAGAGAGAACGAACGTTAGTGAAGATTAAACTCCCACCAGTCATGGTCTTATTATTGTTATTAGACTGTTTGGGCCAAGGATCAAAATTAGTTCATTGTATTGAATGATATGTCTAGGTGCATAATAGATCCCAGCCTTTACTTAAAAACTAGGTTTCAATATGATGAAAATTGCTGATTTCTTTTTTTTTTTTTTTTTTTTCAATTGGTTTTAATTTATTTGCTCGCAAATTCAACTAGACACGGGTTTGTGAAAAGGAGGTAAATGCAATATTCTGTCTTTCCAAATTTACTTTTACCCAGGAGTGCATGCTGTAACCGCTGGACATCTGAGGAGAGGTTGGATGGGAAAACAGTGATCATCACCGGAGCCAACACCGGTATCGGCAAAGAAACAGCAAGGGATCTGGCAAGAAGAGGTACAATCCAGTCAGTTTAGTTTCTATGCCTCTCTTCTTTCATTGTTTCTAACTTTTTACACTGTGACTTTCATGGAACATTCCACTATGCTTCAGGGGCTTAAGCCCTTTCACTGCTTGGTGATGGAAGCTAATCTGAAACGTTAATCACATCAGGGGCGGATCTACTGGGGTGGCATGGGGTGGCAGCTGCCACCCCGACTGAGAGCCTTGCCACCCCTGTTGCCACCCCAGCAACAGGGGCGACTGTGAATTCAATAAATAGTTATGGCAAATCGGACGTTATAAGCGCATGAATCTCTTTTTTTCCGAGAACACTGAATGCAACATGTAACCTGACACCTACTGCCAAGTAGAGGGAAATGCGAGAGTAACTGAACCCTAGGCAGCAGCATTGATATATACGGATGGATATATGTTACTGGACTGGACTTTACGTGACTTATCGTGCGCCACACATGCGCCATTGCTGTCCATTGAGTCTGAAATATCGGTGGTCAGGAAAATACCACAATCCCGCAAAGAATCTGAAAAATGGACGAAATGTTTAGCGGTCAATTCAACCCTATGGCAGCCATAGACATTCATAGCCATAGACAAGGTTCAAGGGTTCCACATTTAACAGGTGAGGAAAAAGTTTCAATTTAAAGAAAATATTGAAAAAGTGAGCAGTGGGTCAGTTATGCTAGCCTAACTGTTGGTGGCCTGCTATTGACTTTTGATAACCTTGACATGTGCTGCTCAGCTCCGTTAGCACTTGTTGAGAAAAAATGATTATTTTTAGTGTTTAATACAGATTAATCTTTTTGAACAAATCTTTAAACTTTGAACAGGTTTCTGTTGGTGATTTAAAATTAAACTATGGCTGGGTAAGTATTCAAAAGTACCAAGGAAAATGGGGTGATCTGTAGAGCTCCCTGGACCCCTGTGGTCGTAACACATAGGACAGGAGGCCATAGATTAACATATGCAGGAAAGTAGAGGCCAGTATCATTTAAATTACCTTGGGAAACAGGAACTTGCCGAGTTCACAGGAGATCAGACTTCTTCTGTGAACATCTGGGTTGTGTGAGTTAGCACTAAAATAGGACAACCCGCACACCAACTCATCAGTACAGCAGGGCTAATCAACCTCCGCTGTGTTCAGGCGAAAATTTATTAATAATGACAATATAGACATCAAGCCTGACAACATAATGTAAGAGTGACTATTCTATTTTGGTGTTTTTGCGTACTTTTTGTGTGTGGGAAATGTTAGTTGTTTGGGATTGATTTCCCCTCATAGGCCTGGACATAATCTCTGCTTTATCTGCTCATTGAGGCGTTGTCTATCGGATGCCATGGCAACGGGTCCGCGTGTAGGGTAATGCCGACACACGGAGCGAGGAAAGGCAGAATAGACGTGGTTTTGTCTAGTTTTCTTCTTCACGTCAGCTTTATTGCACCTTTATTGTGGCGCACTGCAGCCGCTGCAATTCCTAAAAGTTACACAAGCGACAAAAACTGAACTGATCCCCTCCTCTGTTCGCAAAACGTGGCGATATTTATATCAGTCATCAAACTACGTCTCCTACAACATAAATAAAACGCTTGACCAATATAAGAAAAATTTGCCCTTTCTTGCATTTTGACATAACTGAAAGAAAACAAACTGTTTATGGATTTGTATCACGGAGACTTTATGTATCAAACATCAATTTTCTCAGCTTTATTTTAAATCGTATTTAATAGATATATCGGATAATAAATAAAGAAACTACTAATATTTTCGTGACAGATTTCTGCTCGTCCTGCATTGGAATAGAAGGGTTTTCTGGACACAATGCATCACATAGCGACTAATAGGCGCTGTCCAATCCAGTAATACATATCAATTAGCAGCAGTATGAAAGACATAAAAAAAAATAAACTATATTACATTAAGAAATTATATTTAATCCTCAGTGCTGCATGACGCTCATTTTGAAACAATGAGAGTTAAAAACAGTATTTTGCAACAAGTGAATCAAGTAAATTAAGTCCAATGTTAGGTCTGAGCAAGCTGTGAGATTGAGACATTATATATATATATATAAATCCTTGCCCTCTTGCCACCCCATACGTATTTTTCTAGATCCGCCCCTGATCACACTTAATCTGTCTTGGTTCAACTTTATACATTATGGTGGAAGTGTTAAGCTGTCTCGCAGGGTTTTATAAACTCTGCATAACTTACAGGCTTAATAAGTTATGCTGAAATTAAGCTGCTACCTTCCTGGACATGTAAGCAATCATTTTAAAAGACAGATGGCAGTGATGCAAGTCAGATGAGGCATCCGGGAGCATTGTGAGGGTCTGTTACCCTCCTGAGCCAGACAGGCGACAAAAGAGAGAGTTTGGAGGGTGCAGCCATGCACACACACGCACACATGCTGACCCAGTGTAATGTAAAAACTGGTTCTGCATAGATGATTAAATCTGTTTGTTCGCCAAAGGCGCAGCATGAGGTATGCCCCTGCTGCTTTTTGAAAATTACCACCATGCTTTTGAGAGTGCACCACTTCATTCTGTAAATGAAAGGGCAAGTGGGAAACATTTTCCTTTTTTATTACATGACAACGACCGGGGAGGGGAGGTAGAGAGAGAGAGAGAGAGAAAAAAAAACATTGTCTTTGCTGTTGAAATATCAAATGAATGGAGAAAACAACAGTGTCAAAAGGGAGATGACAGAATAATGACCTCCTCTATTCTTTCTTGCATTAGGAGAATTTACTGTCAGAAGATGGCTTCATTTATCAGTAAATTGGATTAAGTAATGACAGGATGGCATGATTAGGTTTGCACAGATTCATAACAGGAAGCAATACCTTGGAGCAGCTGCATCCTAACATCCTAAGGTACCGAGGGAAATCTGAACAAATCACAAGTTTGTTTGTTTTTTTTTCTATCCTGAATGCTTTTGGTAATTTCATCATGTCAAAGTCTACATTCTGTTTTTTTTTTTTTTTTTTTTTTTTTTTTTTTTTTTTGCCCAAACAAGCCTCGGAAAGGCTTTAAAATGTTTTTAATTTTGCAGTGTTTAAAT